TTTTTATTATATTGTTTATTATAAAAAGTACCAAAGTTAAGTTTCTAATTTGATATTATTTCTTTGCAGAAGGTGCTATAAAAAGTAACAAATACAAAGAGAAGAAGTTTGTAGAACAGGAAATTGTGAGATGGCTAAGAGGAGCTGATGATAGCCTAAACACTTTTAAAAAGATAGCAAAACATTTTAAATTATTCTTTTAATGTAAAAAATTAAATAAATACAAATTAACTTGTTTACTTTTGTTTTTATTGCACTAATACGTACATTATACATCATAAGTAAGTACCAATAAGGATGTAAAGTACGTCTAAAATATATACTCTATTGGAATAAGTACAAACATAGTACGTACACAGTACGTACATGTGGTACGTACAGAGTACGTACATTATGTACGTACAGAGTACGTACATTAGGCACGTACAGAGTACGTACTTTAAGTACGTACTAGGTACGTACCGTCGTTTGGAAAATGTACGTATTATGTACGTACTATGTACGTACTTCGTACAGTAAAGTACGTACATGGTACGTACTTTACGTCCCATCAGTACGTACATAGTACGTCTTATGTACGTAAGTGTGTTTGCTGGGAAGTAGTAACTTGGGGTCGATTCAACCATTGGGTTTAACGAAGTTTAAAATGACATTTTTACATAAAATGTAATTTTTATCTTCAATTAATAGTTTAAACTTTAACACAATGGTAAAATTAACCCTAAAGCGTTGAAATCATTCACAGAAAAAATAAATAGTACATTTTTGGTTCACATAAGCGACAAAAGTAAACAGAGTTCGATTGATTGGATCAGTCGTCACACGTTTGCACATAAATAGCTCAATCTTTAGTTTTTCGTTTTTCTATGAGCCCAAAGCAATCTCTGTGTAGGTAGATGCACTATTCAGGAAATCAAAATGTGGATTAATCTTACTTGGTCTTGATACTTTTGTGGATTCAGACTGAAATGTGTATATCTTCATGCAAGACATTCAGTAAATCAGCGAAGCCACAACCAGCGGTGTGCAGGTGCACTTCTAACAAGTGTAAAATATGAAATGATCTTACTTGAGACATATAGATCCATGCACCACAAGCGTGCCGATCCAATTTAATTGATCTATGCACAATAATCATGCATGTATCATTGAAAGTCAGACAAAGAATGTGAAGATAAAGTTGAAGTCTCAATCATAGTTAAAGTCACAGATGAAGTTAAAGTTAACAGCAAAAGAGTTAAAATTGTATGCTGGTGATAAAGGGAGGCCAACATCTAGGTAATAAATATTTATCGAGTTAGGAAAAGTATCCACTGTAAGCGCTTTTCTTGACCACTAAGGTAAAAACCAGAATATTTCCTAATACACAATTTCTTTGCTAGGCAAAATAAGAAAGAAATTTGTGAGAGTACTTCCCAAGTGTTTTTACAAAAGCTTTAAGAACAAAATTGACGAAAATGGCCTAATCCAAGTTCAAATTCTAAAATTTGAACATTAAAGATAAGTATCTTACTGTAAAACAAGTAAAACCTCGTTGTTGACTAAATGGTTGAATAATTCATTACCTACGTGGAGGTAGAATAGGGACTAAAGTTTAGCAGAAACAGCCACTAGAAAAGGTGAACAAAATAGACTGGGGCATATGAACGTCAAGCAAATATTGTAAATGAAAATAATGTGTGCTGTGATTAAATAAAAGTGTACAAGGAATAAAGTTTTAATATTTTCTTATCCATATCTAGGAGTGATATTTATTTTAAATACTAGACAAACGTTATGGTTTTGTTGCTAGTCTCATTAAAAAAAAAAACTAAGTGAGTATTGATGTTAAATATTTATTATTATAAGAACTTATATGCACTATACAAACTTAAATATCATATTCCTGAATTCATTTCAAGCATAAAATGTCCCATGAACAAATATCCAATTCTACATGGTTACCAAGCTACAAGAGTTTAAATATCAAAAGATATATTAACATAGTATGCCATGTGTTCGAATATGTCGAAACACAGCACTGAATGTTTGGTGCCTTGGAACTTGTCGGTATCGAAATCGTCACCGATACTCCATACAAGCAGCTCGCGAATATTCATGACAAAATCATTAAAGGTACACTATTTTGGCATATTATTAATTTAAATTTATCATAAAAAGGAAAGTAGTTGACAAGTGTAGTACTGAGTAGCCAACTGACGTTTATAATTATTGTTGATAAACAGATCAATAATATTTTAATATCAACAAAATTAAATATAATTATGAATTTATAATGTTTAAATGTTAAAGTGTTTTAAAAACTATTTATTAACTGACTTGAAAGTATTTATTAGTGTTCAAATTCGTACAACAGAAAATACTTTTTTATTTTTGTTGGAGGTATATTATTTATGTATGGGCCAGAGCCCATTAAAACAATACAATAATACAGAATACATATTACAGTAATTAAATAATAATAAAATCCTAAATAATAATAGGTAAATTAATTTAAAATATGTACATATTAATTATTAATAATAATGAAAAATCTAAACATAACTACTAAATTCTGTGGGAGAGATATGTTAAGTAGATTAGCAGATATTATCACTCTAGGAATAAAAGAATGAGAAGCATCATCTTAATGCGTTGTTCGATATTAATTTATTCTTGAGGACTTTCCCATACAGCACAAACATATTTCGGAAATATTTCAAAAATATTACATTGAAACATTTGTAATGTATAAATATTACGAAACATCCCAGAAACATTTCTGAAATGTGCCTTAAACGTAAAAATGTCCAGTAAATATATTTCACAGTAAAATTTCTGAAAGAAAATTTTTAAATCTTTTAGATATATTAAATAGTAATATTTCAGAAATGTATTCTAGATTTTTTTCTCTAAAATATTATTAGACTAAAAAAAAGACATTTATAAATATACATGTCTATTTAAAATACACAAAAGTCAAATATTGATTCTTAAAACATTATTTCATAAAATATAAAGGGGAATCACTTCATTTTCACAGAGTCCTTTAAATGCACTAATCTGAAACAAATAGTTTTTTTTTTAATAAATGCCCCAAGTAAAGAAACATTTACGATTGTTACAATCTAATCATTAAGATCAATTAGAAATTTTATTCTAACTTATCAAGGGATGAAAAACTTCACAAACTGATATTCTACTCTCTAGTATACCTTAGAGTCTAAATCACTTAACTACACTATACTATGCTGTAACATCACTGAACTAACTCAAAAGGCTTGGTATCTTGAGTCTTCTTATTAGATTTGGCATTGTTGAGGAGCTGGATAATCTCGAGGTTTCCATGCTGGAGCAGTTGTTGTTAGTGACTACTGGCAAATTTTTGTATTGTATTTTCAACAATCTCCACTTTAAGGTCCCTATGAAGATCAGTATTGTGGCAGTACCAGGGTGCATTGATGATGTTCCTTAATGCTTTATTCTGGAAACGTTGAATAACTTTGATGTCACTTTTCTGACACATCGCCAAAGTTGGCGAATCACTTCATTTTCACCAATTCCTTTAAACACACTAATCTGAAACAAATTATAGGTAATTAAAAAGGTATATTAATATTGTTTTAAATTAACTATAATAAAACAAACAATACTCATGCATACACAATACATGAAGCTCTAATTTTCAATCAGCTGTAGAACTAATAAATAAAATTGGTGGAAGGACAGCAAATGTAGGTTATATTTAAATAGAAATAAGAATATAAAATGCCTACAAATTAAATTTGATAAACGAAATAGCGTACGATTAATGTACTTCTCAAAAAAATTCTTGAAACATATACTACTGAATTTAGAAGGTTACCAATTATACTTGTTGACAAACTGTATCCACGCGCTACGTTTTATAGGATTTTTGGAAATCTATAAATATTATTTCGTATGAAAAAGTATTATTCCAAAATAGGTAGGCACAGCAGTTGATAGATGATTTTTTTTTGCATTTTTAAAAACATACTTTTACACATTTTATACAAACCTGTCATAATACTGTCCTGTATAATATTTATAATTTTGATACTAACCTATGAAACGTTATTCCAGTCGATTTTTCACAAAAACGTCTATCGCTAGAGCAGGAACGTATAACACAGCAAGGCATTATATACTTTATAAGTTTGTAACACTCAAAATTTGCTCAAACACAAATTAAATTCAAATTTAATCACACAAATGACACTAAAAATATAACCTATAAAATTTGACAATTTGCACTCACAGTAATGGCGGACCGGTCCCACTTTTCGCTTACGCATGTCGTATCCCTAGGTTGCCAGATCAATGTTGTCAAGCTATATAAATCGATCATCCTGACGTCAGTTTTCAGTTTTATGAAAGACGTTATATGTTAATCAGAGATAACTCTGATGTTAATGTTATCAGTTGTATAGTTGTTGTAAAAATTAAGTTAAAATAAATTGTGATAGCTTAAACCTTCGTAACAATACGATTACGACCAGTGATGTCAAGTTTACTCACTTAACCAACCGCAATATTTTTAAATTGGTAATTATTTTGTATCACAAGGGAAACACTAGAGATGGGATTTTTAAAATAATTTGGCTATGGGGGTCTGAGGTATCAGTTTATTTTGGAAAAACCATTTCAACTGTGATTAAATATCATATTTTAAAAATAAAATACCAAAAAATAATATTTATCTCTGGAAACCATAATTGATGAGTCAAAGGGTTAAGTAGTATAATTATCTAATTACTAAAAATAACATAATACCTAACTTTGGGGTAAAGAAGTTTGGTATATTTTACATTATACAATAGCGAGAGAGTTTATATTTAGATAGCTATTAAAAGAAAATACAAATAAACCGTCTCCAACTGTAAAGTAAATGCTCTTACTCGTTAAAGACTAATGAATATTTGTTTTGTCAAATGTATACATTCGTTCTGTAGTTGTAAATATACCTAAAGCGTCGGAGGGCTAGTAAAAAGTCAACTTACCATCACTTTTCCGTCGTCTGCAGCACTGTAAAGTTTGCCTTTGTGATAAAGCAGGAAATTAATATCAAATTGATGTTTGTCGCCATCGTCGGCTCTGCAGTCGACTTTAATGGGCATGTTTCTGAAACTGTTCAAAATATTTATTATAATATAATGAAAAAAATGGATGGTTTTAATTTTTTGTACTGACCTGCTTACTAAGTTAATTTTGTCCTATCTACGGATTTTCTATTTTCAGGTAATTAAGTTTTTGATTTTATGAGGGGTAATCCACAAAAAATGTTTATAAAGTATGGCTTGGAAAAATTTACTTGTTAAGCGTTCCATTCTTCTACTTTTTCAGTGTCAATTTGGATTTTATTTGGTCCTTCAACTTTGTCGATCATAGCCTACTTTAGGAACATTTTTTGTGGATGACTCTTTATTATACCATTTACATTTTTTAGAAGAATTAGAAAGTTTTATTTATTATTTGAACAGAAAACAAAGACACTAATACAATAAGATTTTTTTTCTGATTTATATACTAAAATCAGTAAAAACTGATACTATTATCAAAATGGTTTATGTAACTATCTCTCTTTGTCTGTCTGTTTATTTTAGACTAAAAATGAAAAACAAAAATCAGTGACATGAAACAATTTCAGTTCCAATTTGTGCTTGATCTTTTATTTTTATTCTTAAGACTAAAGAATAAATTTGTTTCAGATCAAAATGAAGATATTCAGCCTCTTGAAGATGACAAAGGGAGATGTGACGAACCAGAAAAAGAAGCAGAAAGCGAACGCAGTCTACACAATACAGACACAGACGAAGAAAGTGAAGGCGAACAAGACAAAGAAAGTTTTGATGAAAGTGGTGAATCAATAGATGAAAACACTAATGATACTTTTTTCCAAACTCCTGCAATTTACATTGTTGAAGATAAAAAGACAAAATGGTTGAAGCACGACCCGAAAATTAAAGGCCGTACACGAAGAAATAATTTGGCAACGCATTTGCCTGGTGTAAACGGCTTAGCACGTAATGCGAAAACGTACCTTGACTGTTGGAAACTTATCTATCCTGACGCATCTATTCATGAAATGGTCGATTGCACTAATGAATACCTTCAAATAAAGCGCGAAAACTATAGCCGTGAAAGAGATTGTGCTGGCACTAATTTTTATGAAGTAAGTGCTCTTATTGGTCTTCTGTATCTAGCTGGTATCAAAAAAAGTAGCCATATCAATCTTTCTGAACTTTGGACAGATGACGGCATGGCTCCTGAATGTTGTCGGGCAACAATGAGTCAGAGAAGATTTTATACACTACTAAGTGCTCTACGATTTGACAACATTCATGATAGGGATGTTCGCAAAGCCTCGGATAATTTGGCCCCTATTAGAAAACAGTTTGATGATTTTGTTCAGTTTTGTAAATCGCATTATACAATTGGTGAATATGAAACGGTAGATCAGATGCTTGAGGCATTAGGAGGTCGCTGTAAATTTCGACAATATATTGCTAACAAGCCAGCAAAATACGGCATTAAAATATACGCTTTGGTCGACTCTAGATTATATTATACCTCTTATTTAGAAATTTACGCAGAAAAACAACCTGAAGGTCAATATAAAGTGGAAAATACCGCTTTAAGTGTAGTCAAGAGGATTATAAACCCAATTTTTATACCGGTAGGAATATTGTTACGAATAAATATAACGCCCTGTAAATAAGTATGTTATAATTTGTAAAGTTTTGTCCAAGGGCAAGCGCGCCAAACAACTATTCAATAAAATAATAAAACGTGTAGTTGGACAAAGTTTTATTAAATCATAATATTAAATTACATGGTCAAAAAAAGATCAACAAAAAACACTCTTGGGACTTTTCAAGTGGAAAATTCGGGGAGTTCCTTTTGGCCTACGTTGACGATCGGTCAAGTTTATTTGAATAAAGGATATTCCTTTTTTTTGTGTCAGTCACGCGAAATCTCGGTTAGTTTTTTTTTTGTAAAGCCACAGAGTGGGAAAAGTAACCTGTGCCCTAGCCAGCCCTGCAGCCCAAAGGATTAAAATATATTGTTCATGTAAGTAATAGTTTTGAGTAGTAATATTTAGTTTTGTGTAGTCAGCAAAGACTACTGAATTGCTGAAGCAATAATAGTTATTCCTATATTTGTTAAATAAATCATAGTTATTTGTTTTACGCTTGTTGTTTCAATTTTTTTGGTTTATGAAACCTCACGATAATTCAAAGGCGGTGGTACTGGCTTAGTCAGATCTCTGAGAGAAAAAGAGAGAGATACTGCCAAAGGGAATAGTCCCTGTACAAATTGGGCCCCTCTATACAACTCGTGGTTACGGCTAAGAGTGGGCTTAAGGGTCAGTCAAAAAGGCCTATAATCTCACTCTTAACAATATCACGATGGACAATTAGTTTACCTCAGTTCCACTGGCTATAGATCTAAAAGTTAACCACAACATTACCATTGTTGGCACGTTGCGAAAAAATAAGAAAGAAATTCCCCTTGAATTGTCAAATATGAAGGATCGATCATTTCTGAGTAGTATGTTTGCTTGTTCAAAAGAGTCTATATTGGTTTCATACGTCCCTCAGAAGAAAGTAAAGAAAAATGTTCTTCTTTTGTCTACCATGCACAACGGCGATGTCATAGATGACGACAAAGTTGACCAACGAAAGCCTAATTTAACTAAGGGTGCAGTCGACGTGGTTGCCTAAATAAAAGCGTTATACTCGGTTGCAAGAGTAAGTTGTAGGTGGCCACTGACGATATATTTTTCAATGCTAAACATTGCTTTATAATATATAAGGCAAATCACATCAATGACCACATTCCTCCAAGACGTGCATGTTTGAAAAACTAGCTCTTTCGCTTATAAAACCTCACCTAATAAGCCGGTAAAAAATTACAAACTTACCATGCAGCCTACGAACATCTATTAGAAAAATAGCAAAACTACCACCAGAAGAAGTAAGACAACCTAAAAATGCCAATGAGAGTTTTTGTAGTTTCTGCCCTCGTCGAAAAAATAGAAAAGTTAAGAAAGTATGTAGAACTTGCCAGCGAACTATTGGCCCTGAACACACAATTTTTTCTTGTCGAATCTGTACCTCAGAGATGGGATCTGATGAAGATTTATAAACCTATTAGTCGCTTGCAGTTAAATATATCATGTTTTACAACTGTTCATACTGTTCAATTCACAATTAAAACTAATCATTAAAATGAACAGCGTTTTATTTTTTAATATTCTTCGTGAAAGAAAATCTCACGCGCGACTAACGATGGGATTTTTAACTTAGCAACTAATGCCGGGTTAAAGTTTATTTACTTTTTCTTAAAGTACCTATTTAAATAAAAGCCTGTTTTTTAAATATATTTTTTTTTTTAATTTATTTCAATAATATTTTTTTAATTTGCTTACTTTACTAATTTTAACAGGTTCTTATATAAGTCCAAAATAATATGCCCAGAACTTAAATATATACTTCACTTATTAGTTTAGGAATTTTAATTAATGTATTTGAGAAATATCCAGCATTATACAAATGATTTATTTGTTTTTGGTTTCAAATAAGACTGTGTTTATATGAAAATTGGCGTACACGTAATGAATGTAAAAACATTGACCCTGGCCGTTCCATCTTGTTCTAAAAATAAATGATTTTGTACGAGCTATGACAATTTATATTTCAAAAATTAACCAAAAAAATAGTCAAATATATTATTGTAATTACAGTAAATATACCACACTGATTTTATATATTTTATATAATTATCTGAATTAATTTTTAAATTCGATCATCTTCATGAATGGTAAAATTTTTGTAGAAATATTGATGTAAATCGTCGGCGACACCGCAAAACCAAGTAACTGACAAAAATTCAAAAATTACATTTTGGCGGCAATCGGTTCATTGTATTAGTGGGGACGCATGTGCAAAATCTCTTAACTGACAAAAAATTCTAAATATTTTAAAATCGAAACATTCAGAACCACTCATCTGTTTGACGAAAAAAACGTGGCGGCAAAAACAAGTATCTAACAGTTGGCTATGTGATTGTTCCATGTCATGGTGTTGTGTGCAATTTTTAACCGGTAAGTTCATTATTTTTATTAAACTAATATTTAAAACAGTATATTTTAAATTTCAAGTGGTGTTTCAACAAAGAAAATATGAATTTGTTTTATTTTTGAGGCTGAAATTCTCAAAAAACGTATTTAAGAAGTAACGTGCAGTTACGTGTTTTTTCGTTTTACTTTTCTGAATAATTGTTTTGTATTTTGCAGATACTTGCTTTTACCATGGCATTAAATCGACCACTTTCGAACTTGCAGTTGAAAAAACTCCTAGAAAGTGATGAGTTTTTTGACGACCTTCTGTATTTGATAATTCAAATTCAAATGAGGAGAATAATAGACACGATTTAGTAAAAAATCCCGATGAGACTAGTAATAGTAGTATCTATGGGGCCATTGCGAGTATGGCCAATAATTTTCTAACTCCTAGAGTTACTACTAATACCGACGCAAATTTAATTCATAATAACGTCATCGTAAAACCCGAAAAAAGTTGCAATCGCCCAGATGACGAAACAAAATCAGCGGAGATGATAGAAAATAACGATATTGCTTCAAGTGACTGTATAACTGCGAGTGAAAAACTATCCAAATTTCCGAACGAAATGATATTCATGAGTCCTACCAAACTGAATTATTTGATGACATGTTATTCTAGAACTTCCAGGAAGGTATTATTATAGTAACTGACCTTGATACAGACAACGATAATAATGGAATAATTGAAGTAAAAACAGTGGAAAATGAAAATTTAGCCCACACTGTTCAATTAGAAGCTGAAAACAGCGACAGCAAAGAAGAAACCATGGATAATGAAAATTTAGCAAACAACAAATTAGAAGCTGAGCCTATGGAAATCGAGGAGGAAATACAAAGATACAAAAAAGAAAAGGATACAAGAAAAAGAAATAAGAAGTTGAGAGAAAAAGGCTGTAAGCATTAAAAAAAAAATAACATTACCGGAAAATACTCTTATGAAAACGAAAATGAAGAGAGAAAACTAAGACCAACATGTCAATCTGTTTTATGCAAAAAGGCA